ACACTATCACTTACTGGGGGATGCAGGTACATCCACTGACTGATGAGTCCGAAATAGGACGAAATGCACATCCTAGTGGATTCCACTGCTAGTATCCGTCCACCAGTTGATTTTATCATTAAATATAGGTATTTTGATAGTAAACAATTCTACACGAAAAATAACTTCTAGAACCATCTAAAATCTTCCTATTAGTATGTGTATAACATACGACAATCAACAAGTTCAAATAATCGTCGAAATGACTCATGTATAACATAAAAGTACAAGTAGAATAACTTCAATATATGGATTACATAACCAACGACATAAGTCATGTCAAAAGCAGCTACTAAAGATTCCACATTAATATGTTAACTATCTACCTCAAAGAGCTTTTATTGAGATGCACGTTGAATGTTCAGTTCACCTTCAATAATGAGATCTTTAGACAGAGAGACGGCATTGCCATGGGATCACCACTGGGTCCCTTGTTGGCTGATTGTTTTATGACAAAGCTTGAAAATTCTCAAATTAGTCAAACCATCGGTCATTTTGACATTTATAAAAGATACGTAGACGACACTTTCGTTATCTGCGATAAAAGTGTAATTCTTGATGATGTCTTATTTGCTTTCAACAACTGCCATCCTTCTTTACAATTCACCGTAGAAAAGGAGTACGAACTAAGTATTCCCTTTCTTTATGTCCGCCTCAGCAGACGTAATGACGGATCTCTCAAAAGATCTATCCACCGGAAACGTACATGGAACGGACAACTAACTAATTTTTACAGTTGGGTGTCTATTTTCAGGAAAACGAACCTTATTCATTCGCTCTACTCTAGGATAAGGAAAATTTGTAGTTCTGATTCCGTTGACTCGGAACTTGACTTCTTAAAAGCCACTCTCACAGAAAACGGTTACCCTAACAGATTTATTGACAGCAACATGAAAGATAAGTAGTCTAAACTGATTACCGACACAGTTCCAAAGAAAACCTTATTCATGAACTTGGAATTCAAAGGTGATCAAGCTTCAGATATGCTCAAAAGTTGTCTCTCTAAATCAGTCAGTAAGACGTTCTATGCAGCAAAATTACATATGACGTTCACTAACCGAAAGTTGTTCTCTACTTCTGTAAAAGATAAGCTCCCCCGTCTAGCCGCCTCCATGTGCATCTATCAGTTCACCTGCTCTTGTGGAGCAAGGTACATTGGCCGTAGCCAAAGGATGCTTTCCACTTGGATACGAGAACATATTCCAGCATGGTTTTACAAGAGAGAAAGGAAGTGTGTGCGAAGCTCTATTCTGAAACACCTAATCGACTTTTGTCACTCTGTCAACCCTGACCGTAATTTTAAGATCATCTACAGAATCCATGCTAACTTGCCACGTTTTCTTCGTTACAGACTTCTAAAGACAGCTGAGGCCTTGTCAATTCATGGCTTAAAGCCAGACCTTTGTGTACAAAAGAAGTATGTACAATCCCTACTTCTGTCTTGGCCGTAGAGGGATAGACATTTATTTATTTTGTTTATCTAGTTATTCTATGCACTTTTCCCTTATTACAACGATTATTATTATTATTACTATTCTCACCCTGAATCTTTTCCACTTGACCCACTTGACATTTTAAACCCAAAATTATTAATTTTTATATTTTTATTTTTTACAATATTGAATTCTATCTTCCATATTAGTTTGTTTATTTGATATATCACACAGTGAAACAGTATTATTTATCCAGTAAATAATACTGTTTCACTGTGTGATATATCAAATAAACAAACTAATATGGAATTACTTACTACCACAGTGCCCAAGTTTTACACATATATGAATTCTATCTTATCAAATTTCACACTATGTTATGTAACATTTTATATTCGCCTACTAATCTTATAATTATGTACCCCTTTCCAACATCTATACACCTCATGTATTATTCTATATACGACATTAATTATCTTGCCACTTGACATTAAACTATGATTATAATCACAAATATTTTAATTGCATTTCATACTATTACTACTTCATGTATTCACACCTTTGACCAAATTCGATATATCACACAGTAAAACAGTATTATTTTCAGGGCAACTGAGTTTCAAACACAATTTTTTATTGTTCATAATTATATAACCGATTGTAACTACACATCTTCAAAAATTCAGTCTTACACATTTGTTTATTCCTCCTCATTCGTCAAAGGAGTGGTAGAATTCTCCAGATGTCCAGGTAGACAGCTATTGAATCATTTCTATTACACGTATTTTCAGTCGATTCGATTAATAAAGCTTCAGTTATCAATCTCTCCGTCTATCTTCTCATTTCATCGCAACCTGTTGTATGTTTGTGTATATGAAGTGCTACAGTTGAGCCATTCTCTGGATTTCTTATCTCATTCGGATCAACCAGTCTAGATTTTATACTTAGCTAGTCTGACTGACCCGGTTTTACTACTTTGACTTATATATTTGACCTGACAATCATCACAGTGAATTAGATGAAATAAATTATTTTGTTTGACTGACTCCACAAGGATCTTTTGATCATCAAAGTGAGTTTGTTGGTTTAATTGCCACTTTTATTATGGACATATTAAGAATTCTACGTAGGCTTTCCAAGGTTCCTTCTTCGTCCGGAAGTATCGCCTAAGGTATCTAGTGCCTGCTTTTGTTAAAGCCAGTAAGTCAGGATATCCTCCTATACCTATTGCTGACTTTTAAAATTCACCTAATTATGAAATATCTAGGTACGTCGGTGGCTTAGCGGCAGAACGCTTGTCGACAACGCATGTGGTCTGGGGTTCGATCCGTGGCCACTGACGCACTTCTTTATCTCGTTAGGCCATTAATAAGACCAGTAAAGAAGGAAGGTTGAGCATGAGGCCAGCAACCCCATCCCATAAAAAAGTAAACACTGTTACCAAAATTTCAAAGCTCTAGGGTGAGTTGTGTGCGTTGTGTGAGTAGTGTCTGGATATGATTATGAGCAGCAATAAATTGTGCTGAAAACGTGGTCATCAGTAAATATTACTGTACAACACTGTGTGATTTATCGAAATAAAATAAATAATCGAGTTATACACTACCACAGTGCCTAAAATTTATACTTATGTCCAGCTTGAGGTCTTATGTTCCACTGGGAACGTTAAGGAATTTTTTAAAAATGTTTAAAAACTGAAATGTCTAAATACATAGCTATGATATTAAATCTACTTAGAAACCACTCAAAATCCGGACTGACAAATACTTATAAACTCAAAACATAGATTAGATAATTTTAAAATGTTTAGTTTCGACATCGTCAGATGATATACACGTATACAGAAAAATATGGCTATAGAGGTGGTTAAAATTGAGTTCATTTACCACCAGGAACGTGAACTTAGAACAAAAATCACCCTAGAACATATAATTTTAGAAGTTCAGCAATGCCTGACTTCTTTTTTTAATTTTTTATTTTTTTATTCCTCTACGTTCCCAATGGAACATAGGGCTTCAAGCTACTGGCTTAAAATTTCCGTGGCAGTGGTGTTTATTTTTACGGGATGGGGTTGTTAGTCTCATGCCCAACCTTCGTTCTTTACCACTCTTATTACTGGCTTAGCGAGGTAAAACAGTGCATCGACCAGGGATCGAACTCCGGACCACACGCGTCGTTGACAAGCATTCTACCACTGTGTCAGAGACGCATGCCTGACTTCTTAAGGAATTAAATCACAAAGGAAATTACACAAACGAACTGAAAGACTTGCTATGGGGTTCGTCAACAAAACTTTTGAAGTTGTTGACAATATGGTTATGAGCAATAATAAATTGTTTTCGAAACTTTATCATTCTGTAGATAATAGTGTTTCACTATGTGATACGTCTTATAAACACATTAATATGGAAATACATACTACCACAGTGACCAAACTTTTCGTACATTTATTGGAATGTTATCATTGCATTTTACTACAAATTTGATCTTTCTTTCTTTATCGAAACTGATAGACACTTGATTTAATGCAATAAATTTTGCTAAAGGAATTTTTTCAAACTGTGAGCATTCACTTTACCCACAGCTTTCACCTGGTGTCTCCTCAGGTAAAACAAGAAGTCATTTTAAGAGATTGTATGCACGGACGTCTAAGTATAAAAATTCCACAACACCAAATTTGGCATGTATTTTATGTGATGAAAATAGTGTCAGGCACGAAATAACTAGCTAACCTTCTTTGATTAGAAGTTAACTGGTGGATGATGACTAGCAGTGGAATCCAGGACACGCATTTCGTCATATTCAGGACTCGTCAGCTACTGGATGTACTTGCATTTCCAGTGAATGATGATGTTCCCACCGAGGCTCCAACCCAGTGTCCATAGTTTCAAACGCCAAAGCGTTATCCATCAAACCACTTGGGCCACGAGAGCCACCAACTACCTTCTAATTACATGCCTAGACATCGTCGAAGCATCTGCACAAGAAGCCGACTTGTCAACCTGAGACCGGGCACTTCGGTCCAACCAATCGACGGGAAAATCGATAATTGAATTAAGCCTTCTTTCCACTAGTAAATAAACAACTTGCTCCATCCTTATTCCACCAACCTTTAGTGTTTTTATTCTTCTTATATTTATAATCCGCTCATCTTTTGTTTTGTTTATTTTCTCATAAGTGAAAACATTATTTAAGCTCTGTAAAAATTGTTATTTTTTGTCTTTCTCCTCACACTGGATTTTATACTCTTTAATATGCGAAAATTTCCAAACTGAATCGATAATACTGTTTGAAAGAAACTCACTGTTATTACTATTATCACAGTTATTATTCTCATTTTGTACTTTGAATATTTTTGATTTTATTCCTACCGTAAATTTGGACAAATTCCTGAGGTTAATTTCACTTATATTTTGAGTAAATTAGACGCAATATTGTAACAAATGCTGAGAACTGCATTTTGGAATAAAGAAGATTATTACTATTATTATGTATCAAAGGAACCAAATGCATAAGAAGTAGACTTACTTCAATGCATGGATTACGTAATCGATCACATCGATAACCCATATATTTCGGATGACATATACAAGAATAATGTAAATTCAATGACGAATGATAAAGATACATTGAATCTGAAGTAATTTGACGGCCCTTGAAATATGGTGTATAAATACACCTCAGAGTTCCTTTAGGATCACATAATCTATCTGAATCTTTCGTATTGTTATTTCGCTTTGCTAATATTTCATCAGCTATACACGGATCTTCTAATTCACATGATTTGGTATCTGAACTCCATGAATAACCCTAAATAAAGACATGAGGAATGAGAGAGGATGAGTATAACGCCATCTTGAAGTGAATGGTTAACTGTGTTCCTACTATGCTTAACTTTCTTCTTCGTTTCTAGTGCTATTACGTCACTGTTTCTTATGATAGTAATAATAGCATCTTTATTCTGGACAGTATTTATAAAACGTACAGAATTTTTAGACAGGTTTTGTGCATGGTATTTTCCCTTCGTACAATATCTTCAAGTAAAATATCAATTGACAGTATATTCTGTGAATCTTTCGACGTGAAGACGGGAGTAAGACAAGGCTGGCTGGTTGGATACAGTCTCCGATGATTTTCCTGATTGCGGGCGGTTGACTGGATAATGCAACAGACAGCAGTGGGCAGCGAGGAGACAGGCATAAAATAGACCCACACAAAATACTTAGAGGATTTCGCCGATGATGTTTGTCTGATTTCCCACAAATTGAAAGATATGCAAGTGAAAAGCAACAAGTTGGCGGAAGAAGCATCAAAGATAGGAATAACTTCATGTGAACACAGAGAAAACAGAGGTGTTGAAGATTCCTGGCCAACAGCAACAACAACAGACAACAGTCAGCATAAATGGGAGAAATCTGAAAGAAGCAACCTCTCTCACCTACCCACCTGCCTGGGAGACATCGTTTCAACTACAGGTGGACGGGACTGGTGAGGATATCAATGCGCGAGGATCTGAAAAGCAAGGCAAGCTTTTATTAATCACACGTCCATGTGGAAGTACTTTGTTAGTTGACCGTTCCAAGTGAGTTTTCTATGTACTGACCTTCTTAAGGTTCCGTCAAGTCTTCTTGTTAGTTGCGAATCAAGAAAGGTAGTTTTGGATTTGTACTCCATTTGTCGAGTGAATTTCATTGTCGGGTGACAATTGTTAAATGCTTGTAGCAATTGACTGGGGGCGCAGCTACTGTCGCGAATGATGAAAATGTCATTTACGTACGGTTTATAAAGTAAATAAATGTCGATCGACGACTTTTAGTGATCATTCTCAAGCTTAGTCATGAAACAGTCTGCTAGTAATGGACCTATTGCAAAACCAGTTGACCAATTTGATAACAACATAAAAATTACCCCGTGCTGATGAATAATGATTAAGTTGTTCTGTGTTGGATGAGATTTTGTATATGCTGGTCTAATTTCACTACTTTTATAAAGCTATTGGCATCACTGAGTAGCAAAACATCAGTAAAATGAACAATATCATTTCGTTTTATTTCATTCATTGGAAAATAAAAAATCTTTTATAATAATGAGCATTCGTCAAGTTGTTTCGTCATTATTTCACCTTCTTTAACATATAAGCACTACAGTCAATTGTTTTCTCACGACACTTTGTGCCCTATTCAGTTTATCTGACATTATTAAACCGCCTTCATGCGAATACATCAGTTGCTGTGTATACGTTGTTCAACCATTATCCCTCTTTTGTTGGCTTATTAGGACATAACCAACTAATGACTTCTACACCATCCCTTGTTTATATTTTCAACCCCTTTCTTATCATCCCTTAATCTTATCACATCTTCATAATGAACGTGTTTCATTTACTTCCCTTACAGTCCAGCATTACTTAATCGGTTCATTTGTTTCTCTCAGCGTTTATCGACTACTTCCACCTGAACAGTTGTTTGTTTAATCATGCTGTTTTTCATTATTCGTGTTATTACAGATTGCCTCACTTTTTCATCCATTCTTAGTATTACTGTTATAAATATAATCGTTACCACTATTATGACTAATTGCATAATTTATATACTCCATCTTATTATCTTATGGACAAAACACCACGATTGGTTTATATTTGAATTTTTATTTGTAAACTTATACATATTAGAGTTAAGCCTGATGAGATCTAGTTGAAAACAATGTTGTTTGCTTAAATGTGTTGTTCTAAATTTTACTGTGAGAATATTTATTATCTGGAAAATAATAAACTATGAAAGGGTAATAAAAACAAACAAATAAACTAAGAAAAATTCAAATTAACACAATATGACGCTTAGTGGTTACAAACAGAAGTAATGAAAAATGATTGAAATAAAATACAAATCAACATGTACGTGAAAAGAAAGACTCGTAAGCGAGCTGACAGAGAAATACACACTTCAATGAAATTCCTCGAGGAAATGATAACAGAGCGAATATCACTTTTTTCACAATACCAGTTTGTGTCATAGCACAACGTTTTCATAATTTGATGTGCCTATGCAGGTTGGTTCTGTACACGTATTGAATTTCATTTACGAATGGTGAACTGAACAACTCTATTCAGAAACCAGTACCATCCTTAGAGACTTTGTGATGATCGCATCTATTTGTGATTGGCGTGATTGTCTACTGACGAGATGGACGAGAGACTGAAGACGAAAGAAGACAGAAACTTCTATTCTCGACTGCAGGAGGTGACGTCTGGGTTTGAGAGGGACACGACAACCTAGTAGTGATTACAACCATGTTTGACAGTGTGCGGACTGTGCAGTGCAACACTGATTTCTGCTCACACTATCTACTGCATTTCTTCCCGTTCGAGACTCGTCATCTGAATGCACCTGCACTGCCCAGTGAGTGGTCTTTTCCAAATGAAGTTAATCATCAGACATCGTTGAAAAGTTCGCACTTGGAGATGTCTTCACATTTGGTCCGATTAATAAAAGAGCAGATCAAGATTGAATGAAAAATAAATAATAACCGATGACCGTTGCACAAAAGGTGGCTGTCGTTGCCTGAATGGTTCGGCAGACGGCTCTTTAGTGTTTGAAACGAGTGGCGCTGGGTTCTAGACTCAGTAGGATTACTATCACCCACTTGGGGGGTTGTAGGTGCATGGTGATGACGACGGTTAGATAGGATGAAACGCACTTTATGGATTCCACTGATAGTCACCATCCATGAAATTACTTCTAATTACAAGAAAGTTGTATGTGTCTTTAGACTGAACTCATTCATATTTCCTTCACCTTTTTTCATTGTTTATTTTCCAAAAATAACTTGAATGTTTACATAAGAATCATAACAATTTAAAAAAATTAATTTTTCGTCTCGTGATATTACAGTTTTTATTAACAGTCAAATGTTGACATTTAATAAAAAATGAATTTACAATTTATTTGAACAAGTTTCGAGTATAAAGTTATTTAGAACAACACATTTAAGCGAACAATATTGTTTTCAATTAGATCTCATCAGGCTTAACTCTAATATAAATAAGATGACAAATAAAATTCAAATATAAACCAATCGTGGTGTTTTGTCCATAAGATAATAAGATGGTGAATATAAATTGTGCAATTAGTCATAATCACTTCGAAGGACTCTTGAATCGACCACCACCTACAACTCGTCCAGTAATACCAACAACAGCACGTACACAACTGCAAGTTGACACCAATCCTCCAACGAAAACTGAAGTCTTGAATGCAATCAAGCTTCTGAAAGCTGGAAAAGCAGCTGGACCAAATGGAATACCCCCTGAAGCACTGAAAGCGGACCCAGAAACGACAGCAGATATGCTGACTTCATTATTGCAAAAGATCTGGAAAGAGGGAAAGGTGCCTACTGACTGGAGGAAAGGTTACCTGGTGAAACTACCAAAGAAGGACGACCTGGGACTCTGCAAGAACTGGCGAGGAATCATGCTCCTGTCGACGCCAAGTAAAATCCTGAGTCGCATCATCCTGGAGAGAATAAAGGACGCACTGGATACAGAACTCCGACCAGAACAAGCTGGATTCAGGAAAGGCAAATCATGTTCTGACCAAATTACAACTCTACGCATTATCATCGGACAAAGCATGGAATGGCAATCAAATCTCTACCCCAACTTCATAGACTTTGAGAAGGCCTTCGACAGCGTTGACCGCGAAGTAATTTGGAAACTACTCGAGTACTACGGCGTACCCCAAATATTCATCAACCTTATTCAACAACTGTACGACAATAGCACATGTCAAGTGATCCACAACGGAAAACTCAGCGAAGCGTTCGGAGTAAACACAGGAGCCAGACAAGGGTGCTTATTATCACCAATGATATTCCTAATTGTGGTGGACTGGACTGGATTATGCGTCAGACAATGGGAAACCAGAAGACAGGGATATCCTGGACAGACGTGAAGAACCTAGAAGACCTGGATTTTGCGGATGATTTATGTTTGATTTCACACAAAATCGATGACTTACAAGCAAAAACCGACAAACTGGTCGAAGAAGCAGCAAAGACAGGACTCCAGGTGAACAAAGACAAGACGGAGGTCATGAAAATAACCAACCAACAACAGCAGCAGCAACATCCACCGCCAATCACCATCAACGAGAGGGATTTGAAAGAGGTTACTTCGTTCACTTATCTAGGGAGCATTGTCTCAACTACAGGAGGAATGGGCGAGGATGTCAAATCGAGAATGGGCATGGCGAGAAACACATTCATCAAACTGAAACCATTCTGGAAATCTTCGTCACTCAGCATCAACGACAAAATGATTCGGATTTTCAATACAAACGTCAAATCAGTTTTGCTATACGGATCAGAAACTTGGCGGGTCACCAAGAATATTTTCAACAGGCTGCAGACCTTTATCAACAACTATCTTCGTTCCATACTGAAGATTAGATGGCCGGAAAGAATCACAAACAAGAAGCTATGAGAACAAACGAAACAGGAACCAATCGCCCCACAAATATGCAGGAGGAAGTGGAGATGGATTGGACACTCGCTGAGGAGGCCGTTGGGTGACATCACGCGTCAGGCCATTGCTCGAGTGGAACCCGAAAGGGAAGCGGCGAGTGGGACTTCCAAGGGTGACATGTAGGAGATCGTGTGAGGAGGAGATGAAACAGTACGGAATAACATGGATGCAAGTGAAAAGTACAGCACAAGACAGAAGCAAGTGGAGACGTGCAGTTGAAGCCCTATGTTCCACTAGGAACCCAAGGGAACAATAATAATAAATAATAAATTAGTCATAATAATGGTAA